TTTGGAGTGTCGGGAGGTGAATTACTCACTTCAGGATTCTCAGCCTGCTCTTGTAGCCATAGTATTTACTCGGTTGGTCGAGGTAAGTCTCTGATCCTGATCGCCCCAGGGATATTTAAGGTGGGCAATTGAATGGTTGTAATGAGGTTGAGAAGTGGAGAGATTATCTCTTGGAGACAACTGTACCTCTACTTGTATGGTGTGAATTTTATTTGCTACTTACTAGCTGTTGAGTAGAATAACCAACTCAGTTGGGAATTATAAACAAGTAACTTGGGGAAACTGCATAGTTTGATAAAATTTTTAACCTTTGTGATGACTCCGGAATAGTGGGCTTGATTTCCAATGAGCGTCCCCAATAAGGCATGACAATATTAAATATAACAACCTATAATTAGCGACTAGGCGGTAATGGTGAACCAACATATTCAGAACAGGTAGATTCGGGAAACTGCACATTTTGATAAAGTCTTTAACTTTTGTACTGACTCTGGAATAGCAGGCTTGATTTCCAGTGTGCTTCTCTAATAAGACTTGACAGTATTAAATACAGCAACCTATAATTAGGGACTAGGCAATACTTGTGACTGAACATTTTCAGAACATCAGAATATTCAACAAAGAAAATCTCCGCTTAATCTTTTATTTTCCCTAAAGACTAGGTCAACATATGCAGCAGGACAACAATAACAACTTTAAACATTTTGCTATTACATTCACTTGATATTTAATATTTAATTAGCTTTAGCACAAATAATCACAAAACCTTTACCAGGGTAGACTGGTACAAAGTGCATTTTTAGATCAAAACACATATGTAACCTTTCAGAGAGGATCAAAGAGATGTTTCTGAAGTCTCGTATATGTGCTGAACTTATCTCCCAGGATACCTGTTAAAATTCTTGTAGCTCACTATTTTGAAAATATTCAAAGGCCTGAGGCTAGGGAGGCAACAGAGAGAAAAAAAAAACAAAAGAAACTTGGAAACTAAATAAATGAGGACATCAGCTAGACTGCACAGTAATTCTTTCCTCAAAAGAAAGGAACATCTGTTGCTCTTTACGTTGTAAATAATAACATGGGCAAAACAACAGTATTTCATGAGATCAGTCATCAGTTGGACTTCTATGTCTACTTCTTTCAGTTGGCCCTTGATGCAGTTCCATCAACAGTCACCACAGTTTCAATGGTGGTGCAGGTAGACTGCTGCATTGCATGACTTCCACTCAACAGCCACTAAACAGGATCTGTAATAAAGGATGCTGCTTGGCCTGCTGTGTTCATCCAGCCCTGCACCTTGTTGTCTCGGATTCTCCAGCATCTGCAGTTCCTACTATCTCTGTAATGAAGGAGTCTGACTGGCACAAGCAACACGGACAAAATACTTATCAATGCACAAGTATGGATGATCGAGAAGTTCCATTAAACTTTTGAGGTTTCTCAGTTCCCATACTGGCATGTCATATTAGGAACCAGGAAGGGTTGGCGGGGGGCGGGGGGATCGGAGGTGGGGTTGGTTCGCGCAGTTGGCTGGATGGCTGACTTGCAATGTAGAGTGATGTGAACAGCCTGGGTTCAACTCCTGCATCAGCTGAGGTTCCCACGAAGTACACCTTCTCAACTTCACCCCTTGCTGAGACATGGTGACCCTTAGGTTAAACACCACCAGTCGTCTCTCTTTAATGAGGGATTAGCCTTACAGTCTGATAAGATCACAATGACATAACCTCTTTATTATGAACCTTCAGACCATGCGTTAAAAAAAACTGCAGAAACAAGCTGTTAAAGTGGCAACTGCAATCTTGTAACTTTTACCATTTTCAGACAGACAGTATCAAGTCTCCAGTCAATATCTAATTTAATATGAACATAGGTAAGAATGCTTCACAAGCATTGATGGAATTCACTTTGTTAAAGAATTGCCCAACACCTAAAGACTATGGATTTTCAAACTGTCCATCTCTATGTTTCATGCAGGTCTACAATAAAGATCAAAACCCAATGGTCAATATCAACTTCTGATATAATGATAGCTTCCCTCATTCAAACCAGACTGGGTGAGCTTCGGAAGCATCAACCATGTGATCGAAGCTGATTTCAGGGACTAAATCTTCATTACCCTAGAACACAGCACGTCTATCAGAACTATCAGTCATCAACTAGTCTAGTCTAAGAACCAGACTCTGAAATCTAGCTGCATGTTATCAAGCAGTCAAAATACTTAGCCTGGTCCAGTTTCAAAATCCACCTGAAAACCAGCCTTCAAGATATTCATCTATAGAAACATCATAACTATGTAAACCCTCTGCCTCATCTGTGAAGTAACGCCACAGAGGCCAGTACCCCATCACCAAGTCACCCTTTATTTACATGTGGAAAGTCCTTGACAAAGATCCAGCTCCCTCAGAGCCAGCTGTCAGAGTGAACAGGGTGTCTGATACTCCTGTTTATATCTGTCAGCCAGGGCTCCCTGATCGAACCAGATTAACAGCCCCAATCAGGGACCTCATATTCTACGAGGTCCACCTGGCTGACCTCATTACAATCATTACGATATGTTCATTAGTTAAACATAAAAAGAGCAAATCCCTTCAAAAAGCTATAGCCCTGTGACATGGGAGACTGGAGATCATAAATCAGATTCTGAATGAACTTTAATCTGTAAAAGTACAATATTGTGCGTCAGTGCCTGTCTGTGGATGTGCCAGTGTCTATATCTGTCTGTGTATCCTTCCACGTGTGTATTTCTGTGTGTGTGTGTGTGTGTGTGCGTGTGTGTCTGTGTCTGTGTGTGTGTGTGTGTGTGTGTGTCTGTGTGTGTCTGTGTGTGTCTGTGTGTGTGTGTGTGTGTCTGTGTATGTGTCTGTGTCTGTGTGTGTGTCTGTGTGTGTGTGTGCGTGTGTGTGTATGTGTCTGTGTGTGTCTGTGTGCGTGTGTGTGTCTGTGTGCGTGTGTGTGTGTGTGAGTCTGTGTGTCTGTATGTGTGTGTGTTTGTGTGAGTGCGTGTGTGTCCATGTCAGAGTAAGTGATGCTGCACTAATTTGGAGTACATTTTGGGAATAAATGCACTGCTTTACTTTTAAACTCACATATATATTATTGAATTGGAAAACATGATGAAAATATACCACATTCCATACAAAACAAACCAATTACGATCTGTAAGCATATGCAATCTGTCCACATCAGTTTGAAAAATGTAGAGTTCTGTAAGTTCCAATGCTCAGCTTTTTGAAGTATCTCCTCATAACCTAGGTCCTTGGTCCTTTGCTGTAGCATCATCGCTTCATTGTGTTTGTTGCTTAAATGTCTTTTAATTCTTGCTAACCAGAGCTGGATGCAATGTTCAGGATGTGGTTTGACTCAATTAAATAGATTTCCATAATGTTGTCCAAGACCTCCTGCATTAAGTTGGGCAGTGCCTCTCTGAACTAACTTAAGGCATTGAATAACAAAGGAAGTATTCATGCATTTACTTAGCAGCTATGACTGTAACCACTTTGGTTTTCCAAGTTTATTGAAGGCCTGATTAAAATTCTTGTGTGTTTTGACATCCTTTTCACTTACAGCAAATTTACTTCTTTAAGCTGACCTGTGCCTACACAACATACTCTTAGACTTAGCCTGATGTATTTCATATTTTAATTGTCTCACTAGACTAGCTTACAGAGTTATCATTTACATCCCATAGAATACACCAAACCTTTTTAAATTCTATATATTTTTATATAACCTATATCCTTAAATGTTTATTTTCAGTCTCTAGTCTGAGATTTTTTGTATTCCAATTGAACCGCTGTTCCTTCCTCTGGCTAAGGCCTTTGGTTCTAGTATCTTGTTCCTATTTCTTCTATCTTAGATACACCACATAGCTGAAGTCACTTCAAGTTTCACATGGTCTGCAGATTTCTGCTTTCCAATTTACAAGCATTGCTTTGCTGACAATCTAGATTTATCAGCTATATCCATCTGTTGAACACTTGTGAGTTTGTATTCTGCTTTCTTCCCTAATATTTTCAAACTAATTAGATCTGTTATCAGATTCTTTGTGACCAAGCATGTCCAGGAAATGCAAATGTTGTAAATTTATCATATGATTGTGCAGTGATTTGAAGAAACAGTTTCATAGCCTCAGCTTTTGCCATTTACAAGATAGACTGCTTGTTTGATGAGAGCAGTGCTTGGTTGAATAAGCAGCAGACATGCATAAGAGAGTAAAAGCTTTCCCAGCAGAACAAAGTGCAACACAGGCTAAAATAGTCAAAACCACTCAAAACAGTCTGCCTCAGTTGGATTGGTTCACAATTATTAAACAACAATTGAAGTTTAAATTGATCTAATTCTTCAGCCAATACTCAAATAGCTAATCACTTAAACACAAGCCAAAGTATCATTTGCAATGGGATAACAAGTTGTAGAGCTGATGAACACAGCAGGCCAAGCAGCATCAGAGGAGCAGGAAGGCTGACGTTTCGGGCCTAGATTATTTGCACTGCTGATTTTTAAACAGTTGCTTCATGACTCTGAAGCATGTTTTCAGTTTGACAGGCTGGTATAATTTTGGATTCAACTAATGTGGAAATGTGAATGAAGAGTAGTTCTCTTAAGCAGTAAATCAGAAACAAACGACATCTTACTTTACTGTCTGTCAGAGTTCTTGCTGAAAATTCCATAACATGGCTATTTGGCAAAATAAAGTGCTCTGCTTTAAAAATGTCTGAGCAATCCATGTTGTCTGCAATCATTCTCAGCTTGGTTTTGCCTTGCAAGTAAAGCCATGTAGTAACAACAGGGTGTAGACTGAAAAGAAACAGCTGGCAAAACATCTGAGCCTAAGTCATTAAATGTACCAGATAAGGAATGAGAAAGGTCATCAGGAAAGAGAAGCATGATAACTTGTAAAATTCAACGGAATCATTTTAACTAGTTAAATTGTTATCATTATTAAGATTAAAGTCCAACTTAACAATATTCAGTACATAGAAGCAGCAACCACTCACAATGCAGATTCCAGAATCATCAAGACACTGTTCTGAATGTCCATGGCAGTTACATGGCAAACATTCTCCATCAGTTGTGCTATAGAAATCCGTGGGACAGTTCTGAAAAAGAGCAGCAGAACATTTTCAAATAAAGCTGAGTAGGAATATTTAATCATGGTGCCTGTAAAAACAAAACACTGGCCCAGAAACAACCAACTAAAATATTTAAAAACTTAATTACTCTTTGTACTTTCTAAATGTATCTTGTCAGGCACAAAGTTAAACATTTAATTTTATGACATTTATTTGTTTATTTATATTGCTTCAGAAGAAATAAGGAAATACAAGTAGAGTGTGCATTTCCCACTAATACTTCTTTAAATGAATAATTTCTATTAACAAAACAACATTAATAATATCAATTTTCCACATATAAAAAGTCTTCATGTATAACTCTGGAAATAAATAATTATCTTAAACTTGAAAACTACAAACTTCAAAGACAATCAAGAACAAACATTCTAGTGTAACAGCAGCAATCCAATGGGCTTGATTTCAAGACTGAGCAAGGCCTTGTTTGTGAATGAGTTAAAATCTTATCCAATGTGTGTTACATTTCAAGTAATGAATTAGTTTTACCTTGATTTAAGAAGGAATCACAATTTTCTATGACTTCACTAAAATGCCTGCTCTGTTATCATAATTTCAGTTCAGAGTTGTTTTAAACACAATTACAAGCTCAAATGGGATTTCTGCTGAATCTTCCCTGACATGATGGCAACAAAGTGGAAGGCATTCACTCCCTAGATTTTCATGTCCAGGCTCACCAAATAATGTACTTCTTTGATTAGTCAAATATTCTCAATAGCACACTAAAGGATATAATATCTGTAAATTCTGTGTGCTGTAACACATAGACTGCCACACAGGATTTTTTTTAAAGAAAGGATATATTGAGTAACAAAAACATTTCTTAATCTTCAGTTTTGTGTCAGAAAACAAGCACAATAATTATGTTTCAATAAAATAGTTTCAACAATTACATAAAATTTGAAAATAAATATTCGAATCAACCATGGAGACTAATTTCAATTGCTCACAACGGGTTGGAGGGGGTCCTAGTTGCAGTGGTTGGGGGGGTAACGGGTGTGAAGTTGAAATTTAAAACTTTGGAACAAGTCTTGTACAACAGATACATGAGAACACCTGCAAATTCTCCTCCCAGCCACTCACCATCCTGACCTAAACTATATCATCGGTCCTGCACTGTAATTGGGTAAAAACCTGCTGCTCCCTCTGTAACAGCACTGTAAGTGCATCTCCACCACATGGATTGCAGTAGTTCAAAGCACCTACAAGGACAATTAAGTACGAGCAATAAATGCTGGCCTGACCAATAATATCCCTGTCCATCAAATGGCCAAAAATACATCTGCTCTCCAGAGCAACTAAATTATTTAAATTATTCTAAACTAAATTATTTAAACTAAATTATTCAACAGGAGGCAGTCAGTCAGCCATTTTAGGTTTGCTCGCTCCACTCACACCAGTTGTATGATCCTTTGATCTCTCTGCCCTTCATCTCTCTGCCTATAAACTCCGTGTCTGTGTGCTCTCCTCTCACTGTACCTGACGAAGGGGCTGTGCTCTGAAAGCTTGTGATTTTGGATAAACCTGCTGGACTATAACCTGCTGTCATGTGATTTTTGACTCTGCCTCAGTTGTAAAGAGTTTTATTTTTAGTCCCTGTGGGCTGGATTTTTCAAGGTTCAGGTAAGTAGGGGAGGCAGAAATGGCTAGATCCAACAGATAAGTATCTTGCCAGCACTCACTGAAGACCAGAAGTTGCAATATTTACCCTGGCCTCCCTCACAAACATTTCCCAGCAATTGTCTTATACTTGCTACTGCTGTATTTCTGACCAAAGAAGGCTCTGGGCTTTTGACCCCTTGATCTGTATTCTATCCAATCCATCTCACGTAACTCATGAACTTCTCTGATTTCCAATCTCTCTCTAACACATTCACTTACCCGATATTCAATGCCAACATACCCACCGTCAGTTCCACAACACTGAGTCCTGATCTCTCCCCGGTCTTTTCAATCTGTCTCCTCATGGGCTTATCCAATCTAACCTTCCCTCCTCTTAGGTCTCTGGCTGAACTCTGATGTCATAGGCCTCCTGGCTCAACAGTTAGCCAACCTCTCAATTTGGCTTGATGCTAGCCAGGAAACGGAAAGAAAATAATTGATTGATTTCTTGCGTTGTACATTTTAACCGCTCGGATCAATGCAGAGATTACGCTAGTTTCTAAGTTTATATACAAGTGCTTTAAAATATCTCTACAATCATTAAATATCTGCACTCACCCAAAACAGAAGAGCTGAATATTATTTGAGTAGACTATTCTGATATATTTTTCAATTCTGAATTAGTTTGTTGCATTTCTATTTAAGCAGACAGGCTAAACAGATCAGACTCATTCTCTTTGTCTTCTTCCTTTGTAGTTAATTTTTGGAAAATTATATTCAATACCTGAATTTCTAAAATAAATCCTATTGCATAGACTCGTTCTTTTCCTGTCTAATTCTATGGGCCTGAGATTTTGCCACAACATAGTCATGAAACAATCTAGGATGTTCTTCCTGTAACGTTTCAGTTTCTTTCACCCGTACTGGTTGTTCAATCAGCCTTGATGAGGTCAATTTTATTGACCCAATATTATTCATAAAATAAAATCAATTCCTTGATTATGTGATTGTCATATGGAGGTGGGCAAGCAAATGCTTCAAAAAGTAAGGAAATAGCTCCTCCTTTAAGATAAAATACCCAGAACCTCCAGTGGTCTCATTGTCACTAATACAAAAAAGAATGATCATAATTGTTCTGAGACATCTTTCCCTTTTTGGTGGACTAAGGAAACTTGTTTTCTCTGCACTACCATTACTGTTTCAATGCCTTTTTTTCTTTTCTGACATGCCTTTTTCCGAAGATACTTTAAGCATTCCTGTTACTGCAATCAGTCTCCCATTTAACTTCCAAGAATTGGTTTTGGCATGTCCAGTTTGTTTCAATTACAACATGTAAATTTCTTCATATCATTTATTCCTTTCAGCCTTTCTATTACTTTGGTGTCCTTCTGTCTGTTCTCTAAAAGAAGTTCCTCGTGATCTGCAAATTTTCTGTTCCTTCAATTTCCTTACGGATCTCCGTATGATCATCATAGCATCTGTAACTGTCCGTGCAAGATAATAAAATTACCTGCCGAAACTGCTATGTCTCTGATCTTTTGTACTTGACATTCATCTAAATTCAGGGTTTGAGTGAAGATTTGTAGCTTGGGTGCTGGTTGTAGATGTTGGTGTGTTCGCCGAGCTGAGAGGTGTGACAGCAGACATTTCGTCCCCTTGCTAGGTGACATCCTCCTGTCAAGTGCTGTGGAGCCTCCTGTGAAGCGCTGTTGTCTTGTGCCAGTTCAAATTTATAAGATCTGGTATTTTGCTGCTTCCGGTAGGTGCCAGTTCCGGCTGTGTGTTGTAATGGTTGGTATATCGGGTCTAATTCATTGTGTTTGTTGATGGAGTCCGTGGATGAATGCCAAGCCTCCAAGAATTCCCTGGCTGTCCTCTGTTTGGCTTGTCCTATGATAGTAGTGTTGTCCCAGTTGAAAGTGTGATTTTTCTCATCTGTGTGTATTGAAACCAAGGACATCTGGTCGTGTCGCTTAGTTGCTAGCTGGTGATCGTGGATGTGGTTTGCTACTTGTCTGCCTGTTTGTCCCACGCAGTGTTTTGTGCAGTCTCCGCATGGTATCTTGTAAACCACATTTGTCCTGTCCATGGTATCTATTGGGTCTTTAACCCTGGTCAGTTGCTGTCTTAGTGTGGCTGCCAGTTTGTGTGCTATCATGATTCCTCGCGGGCTGAGTAGTCTGGCTGTCAGTTCGGAGGTGTTTTTTATATATGGTATGGTGGTTATTGTTTTGGGTTCTGGTGTGTCCTGGTTGTGTTTTCTGTTGGCTAGGCATCTGTGGATGAAGCTGTGGGGGTATCCATTCCTGGTAAAGACCATGTAGAGATGTTCTTTTTCTTCCTTCTGCAGATCGGGTGTGCTGCAATGTGTAGTGGCCCATTTGAACAGGGTCCAAATGCAGCTCCTCTTGTGGGAATTGGAGTGGTTGCGGTTATAGTTTATGATCTGGTCAGTACATGTGGATTTCCTGTACACTTTTGCAGTGAAATCACCATTCTCTCTTCTTTCCACTTGTAAATTTGATCCCTGTGAGTACGGTGTTGATGAGTTGGTGGGTGTTCCCAATTTCTGTTCTTTTTATAATTGCAAAAGTGTTGTCCACATATCTGATCCAGAGCTTGGAATGGATCCGTGGGATGGCTGTTTGCTCCACTCTTTGCATGACTGCCTCCGCTATCAATCCGGAGGTGGGTGAGCCCAAGGGAGTCCCATTGATCTGCTCATACATCTGGCTGTTGAATGTCAAGTGGGTTGTTAAGCATAAGCCCAGTAGTTTGAATGTACAGTGTTTGTTGATCTGTTCCTCGTTCTGTTATCTGTTGTGTTCATTTAGTAGGTTGGATATGGTTTCTTTGGCTAGCTTTCTGTCGATTGATGTGAACAATTCTGTTACATCAAACAAGATCGTCACTTCTCCTTTGTCTATTTTAATGTTCTTGGTGTTGTCCAGGAATTCTTGTGTTGATTGTATGGAATGTCTTGAACTACTGATTAGACGTTTAAGCTTTTGTTGTAGTTACTTTGCTAATTTGTGTGATTGGGCTCCTGGTAGAGCCACAATTGGTCTGAGAGGTACATCAGGCTTGTGTACCTTAGGCAGCCCGTAGAATCTTGGCATGTTGTTGCCTTCGATTTTATCCTTTGTAATTCTGTTTTTGTTATCTGTCCTGTTCTGTGTTGGTTCTGTAGTGTATTGGTTATTCTGTTTGTTAGCTGTGGTGTGGGGTCCCACTCCCTCTGTTGGTAGGTATGGAAACTCCCACAGCTTCATCCACAGATCCCAGCCAATACACAACCAGGACACACCAAAACTCGAAACAATAACCACCATATCATATATAAAAAAACACCTCAGAACTGACAGCCA